TTAGATTTTTTTCTTTCCCTATGATTCTTGACATCTTTGATAACAAATTTTCAACATCTATTATCCATTTTATTATCTTGGAAAATTAAGTAAAACATTTAGATGAAATTTCAAGAACAATACTAAAAGTACAACTAAATTTCTATAATCAAGCCTCTGGACCAAGTAGTTGTAAGATTTGTCTTGGAACATGAGAGTTGACCTGATACTCTTAAATTTGATTCTTATCTGTATTAAAATAATATTTGATAAATAAAAAAATCAAACACAGATTAATCATTGATTTTCAATTTTAAAACATTGCATGGACTACGTCTATGGACAAAAAAATATATTATCTTGGTTCCTCTTTTTTGTTTAATTGGTATGGTCTCTTTGTTATTAAAAAGTTTAATTTAGTTCCTTAATTTTTAAAAATTATGAAATGTTATATTTTTTTTTTCTAATTAAAACTAACAACATTAACTTTTATACGCATGACAAATATGTGTCAGTATTTTATTGTGTCATGTGTACAAAGAATTAATACGATTAGTCCCAATTTGATAATTAAATAAAAAAATGTGACATTGCATCATTTTTAAAGTTAAGGAACCAAATTGAATTTTTCAATAACAAAAGTACCAAATTGAACTAATTAAATAAAAAAATCAAATAAATAATTTAACCTAGAAAGTATTTGAAATTCTATTCTACCTTCTAAAATATTAAAATCAATAACAAATGTTCAAAATTATTTGTTGGTTATAGTAAAATTTATAGAAAAAGATAAAACTTTCTTGAGAGACACATTCATAATTATTGTTTATATTGAAAATGATTTAAGTGTAACTTATATTCATCCTCAAGAGATGAAAATGTATATTTTAATCAAAATAAAAGAGGGAGAGGTTTAATTTAATATTCTCTCTATTTTTGGGTTTTTATAAGATATTTATCTATATTTATTCGTTGTTTTCAAAATTCAAGAAAACATTATTTTTTTTCAATTATACTCTAATTTCTTACTTAACTTTTAATTAATTAACATATTTTCAACTAATATGCATTTATTTATCAAGAACAATAATTAAGTAAAATTTAGTGTATATATATATATATAGAGAGAGAGAGGAGACTTTAAAACTATTTTATTGAAGAACAAAAATAATTATAACATTTTTTAGTTGTCTATATAAAAACCTTAAATGATTATTAAAAATAACAGTGGTCCTGCACTGATAGAAAAGGATGTAATGTGCTATAAATAATTTTGCCAAGGTCTCAATTAATTGGATCAAATATAGTGTAGATGGATACAAAAGTCTTGCGTTTGGTTCTTGTTAAAATTTCTTTATGGCTAAGTCATCAGCTATAAGTACTTGTTTTGTAAGTCCTTGTTGAATGTGAACGTCGTCCATGCATATATGCATTAGTAAGCAGTGCATGGCGAAATACTTAGGTAGGTAGGGCAGACATGTTACCTTGTTAAGTAAACCATGTTACGATGAGAGTCCACCAAAAAGTAAAAGTTACATAAATAAAATAAAGAAAGAGATTAAAACGAAAAAAAAAAAAAGGGTAAAAGATTCATGAGTGGTATAACAGTACACAACTGTTGTAGTTTTTACTTGTTTATTTATTTATTTATCTATCAAGAACAAGTTATTATATCCATCCATCTAGTTTCATCCTTGGAATATATAGAAAGCTAGCAGAACGGGATGAAGTTTCTAAGATGAAAAAAGATCCATTAATGACTTTTCATAATTTAATTTCGAAAAGGTAATAATATACGTATCATAATTTATACAATTCACTGTATAAAATTATTTTTTAATGTATTAATTTATTTATCATTGATAAATATAATAAATAATATGATGCAGAGATGAATAAAAAAAAATATGAAACATCTGTTATGGAATATATATTGTTCTATTTGCAGATCCTCTTTTAGTTTGAAGCGTGAATAAAGTTGTTATGATTTCATTTAAATATTGAAGTATGTGCGACAGGCATAAAATTCTTAAAATTGACTTTACAAGGTTCTGATCTATTAATAATATTATGTAGTGGTATCTTTTAAGAATGTTAATTGGACTTAGAATTTTTTTCGTTTTAAAAGCAATTATTCTTACTAATGAACTTGGTCTGGCAAGGGATTAGTCTCACATATCATAACAAATTAAGGTTTCGAATATCTGTTAAAAGAAAAATTCATATTTAGTGTTGGGTCGTGTTTTTGAATAAAATTATTGAAGAAAAAACTATACAAATATAATCTTGGACATTTGAGGATATTTTCATTATTGACACATGAAAAAAATAATAGCAACCATTGATGAACGGGATTTTTGAGTCAAGAGTAATGAATTCAGCCACGGAGCAATCCACAACAATAGTGAAGGATACTTATAAAGGCATTATGATGCTTAAGTAAATATTTGAATCAACAAAGTAACAATACTTAGGGTTTTTTTTCTTTTTAATAATTTTTTTAAAAGGGTTTCTACAAGAGAAATATATAAAAGAAAAATAAAAAAATCTTTATAAGCTAAAATTAATTTAAACATAAGTTAATTTATAGAAACTCTATTTTATTAACTTCTCTAAAATTATATATTTTTAATTTATGTATAAGTTAATTTTAGTTTATAAAAAAGTTTATTTTATTTTCTTTTTCTTTTATAAGTATTTCTAGAAAAAGTTTACATAAAACCCTTATAACAAAATACTAGGATTTGTTTGGAAAAGTTCCTTGTAAATATTTCTAAGAGAAGAAAATAAGAAAAAAGAATTAAATAGACTTCTATATGAGTTAAAAGAAAACCTATTTTGTAGAAGCTAATATCAAATAGCTTCTATAACTTAGTTGATACATAAACTGATTTTAATTTTAAAACTTTTTTTTATTTTTCTTAAAAGTACATATTTAAAAACTTAATAAACTCTTATTTAGTGCACGGTCAATAACAAAAGCCATGGTTGAATCATGGCTAAGAAGGCAATAGCCTTAACCCCATATTCAAGTTTTATTTTCGAGTAAATTGTAATTCTCTCTCCTAATTA